AAAGGTGACAAAACCAATCACATTTATGTCATATGAGGAAACATTTCCTTAATCTTTCCCTAACCAAAATTCACACGTAGAACGTATCAAAATAGAAAAGAATAGTATGTTTCATCATAGGTATTTCAATTTGAAAAAGTTCACCCACTTCAGTGGATTACTTGATTACAGTTGAAATCAGAAAGTCAATCACACATTAACATTAACATCAAAGCATTATACATTTATACACATAAGTAATGAATGGGAGTTCTGAGTCGACCTATTAACCTCAAAGATTTACCGTTTGATTCCCAAAAACAAACAAAATATGGGATTAAGAAGGGAAGAGAAGAAACGAAAGAAAGGTATTACACACAAAACCATAACGAGGCAAAGAGAATATACACATTGGGAATCACCATATTTACCCTCTTCGTTGTTAGCGTGTTCATGTCCATTTCCGATCTGTCCCTGCTGATTATTTACTCCTTCTAAGTAATAAAATAGCAGTAACATATCTTTTTTGGTCCTCTCCAAACGGAGAATAAACTACTGTTAGGCCTATCCAAATATTTTAAGGAGGAGGGGGGGGGGGGTAAGTTTCTGAAGAAACTGTGGCGCTGCGTCGGTGGAGGAGTTTTTTTCCCTCGAAATTGAAGACCGAAGCTCAACCATTTATTGTTTTTTTAATTGCGTGGTTGCCCCTTAATAATTTTTTGAAGTAATAATGATAATTCCAATAATAATTCAAATAAATTTCTGAAGTGCATTGTCCTAATCTCTACTCACACCTATACCCCCTTTCAAGGCCTGATTATGATATGTATAAATGGAATATAGCACCGTACCTTCTTGATTTTGTCCACTGCTGAAAATCGATCGAACATTGGACCACACCTTCCTCAATTTTGCTTTCAAAACAGCTTGAACCTATACAGTAGAAATTTAGTTAATAAAGTATGTCGGAATATAGATCAAACCGCTTTTAAATTCAAGTTGGTCTCCATGGTTATAACCAACAGCGGAGAAACAAACAAACAACTTTGCGATCATTCATATTTTTTCCATGCCCATTTTTCTCCTTTTGGGTTATTTTTTTCTGTCATAAGGACATGAGAGAGACCGTCTTTGATTGACAATAGGAAAATTTCTAATAAAAAAAAAAACCGTTGGGACCGCGGGTGATTGATTCAGATAACTATCTCGCAAAGATGTCTCTTAAAACAACAAATGAAAGAATGTTCCATTCAAAAGCAAGAGAAAAATGGTACCTGTGGAGTAGAAAGGGTATACAGCAGTGGGTTGATAGCTGAATTGATCGGCAAGGCGAACACTGCAATCCACACAGCCAGATCACCAGGTGGATCAAACGTTTTCTCGACGTGCGACTTAATGCCGATAGCAATGATTGGTATCCAACACAAGAAATCGGTCAGAATAATGAAGAAGACTCTTTTGGCAAGTGCTCTTTCTCTTTTGGCCTGTGCGCTTTGTGCTCTTGCTCGTATTTCACGAACAGTTCCATGCGCACCCAGCCGTCTGCTTGACGACCATGATTTCAACAAGATGGCAACATAAGCAACCGTAATAAATAGGAAAAGAGAAAAATTTAAAACGATGAAGATGGAAGTGGAGAATTCCCAGCCTTCTTGTAATTGCGGGGAAAGTTGCAGGGGCAGGCACACCACGTTCTTGCCATAATACCAGTCACCAAAATATCGCATTCCAGACAACGGAAGGAATGCCATGATGCCTCCCACAAGCCAGATAACTACACACATAATACGGGTCTGCCTTGGTGTAATTTTTGCAAACGTGTAAGGAAACACAATGTTCTTGAGCCTGTCCCATGCAATCAGAGAAATCATCATAACAGACACCTCGCTTGAAAGTACAGACATGGCGCCATTGAAATGGCAAAACCAGCCGGTGCGCCACTCATAGTCGTGCAGGTAGTATTCCCCTGACCATTGCAGGTCTTTTATACCTATAATGATGAGGTAAATACCCATGATGCCGTCTGAAATACCCAGATTTACCAACATAATAGACTGAACCATATTGTTATCAGGGAGGAAATACTGCCACCCAACTACAAACACAGACCCAAACAACGAAAGAAGGCCGACAACCCAAAGACTTCTCCTTGGAGCAAGGTTGCGGAACATGGAGTGACAGCTTGCGAAGTTATCATTGAAGGCAAATTCGCAATCGGCATCCTGCCTGAAAAGATCAAGGTGGCAGCACATCAGGTTGGTGTCCAGAGTTCTGGAATTAGAAAAAGAAGAGGAAATTAGAAAGGGTTCATCGTTAGAACAATGAGAGCAAAATAATAAAGATTATCGAAAACAATCGGCAAGAAAATAGTGATCTATGCTGAGGCAAAGATAATTGATAAGCATTTTTTCATAAATTAATAGCAATTAGAGAGCCTCGCGAAGCATACCTTAGGCAATGGTATTTAATATCTAAATGTGGCTTCATATCATTTCAGTATTGGAATAGATAGAAGATGTTGGCATTAATGAAAATTTATTGATCAACTGAACCATAACAGACTGAAGGAAACAAAATTATTAAAATGGTTGCATCACCCACATTACAATTTGAAAATAATTTCTATTTCAAAGGTAATTCAGACAACATCCGCCCCAAATCTCCTATTAAGCCGTCGTGTTAAATTATTATAATGGAGTATTACACTCTGATAATGTGCGGCAGAAGCCCAAAAAAGCCTATGGGGAGCTCAGCCATCAGGTTGTAGTGCATGAACCTGCAAGTTTAAAATAGAAGGTGAAAATAAAGTTAGATTATAATAAATTGTATATCTCATTTTCCCAAGCCTTTCCTTTGACTTTAACAAAATTAAAAATTATACCCAATTAACTATAATACTCTAAATTAACTTCACACCTGCATCTTATCCGATTGCAATACATGCGGCTTTATTGTAGGTACCGTGATAAAGAACTGCCATTTGCAGTGAACTTACAAAAATCGCAGTTCCCGGGCATGACTGAAAGTCGTGCTGGTGACATTTTGTATTTTATTGCCAAAGATACTTCTGTAAAAAGTAATAACATAATTATTAACTAGCAGATGGTAATCAGGGTCTTGCATTGTCTGATTCTTAAAAATTACACCTGAAGTTGCCGTCGGAACTATCATAGTTCTCCACTATGTTTGTTTGCTTTTTTGATAATATCCACCTTTGCTTAATAAAACCATGTTTATAGCAAGCCACCTTTTTTTTCGTCAAGAAAGTAGATAGTAATAAAATTTCGCTGTTGAACATTACAATTTACACCACGCCTGTTGGAGATCATGTTAACATTTTCAAAAAAGAATTCCATATTGTGCATCTTTCTGTTATGTACATTTTCATCTTTTAAAACAATTTAAGAAATTGTTTCGTATGTTTTCAGCTGTACTCACAGGCCCTTGAGGTCCTTAACGCCCTCGAAAATCTTGTCAGGCAAAGCCTCGATTCTGTTCTCCGAGAGATGTCTGAAACAGGTAAGGGGGAATTTAAATTAATATACAAGTAACATAGAATAACTAGGCATGGCACATCTAATTTAAACAGCAAAACTGATATCAAAACTATATCACAATTATATAGATCTGGTGACAAAGATTGTGATCCATTTATTATACAGGCTAGTACAAATAGAGGATACTAACTATATTTACTAAGGTGTTCCCTATTATGGCTCCTGATTTTCTATTCCAACTAATATCTGTACAAGTTAATTCCCTCAGAAAATTAATCGCATGGCCGTTTTAATCCAAACCTTTGCCCTCAAAATCTAAATTTATAGACTCAGCTAAATTGGAGCCATTTTTTCTTCGTTCAAAAAAGCTCTTTTCCTTTCAAGTTAACTGTATCATTGCGGCTCTATAATCTGAAGGACAAATATAAACAGAAATCTCAGTGCACTTGAGCCGTTTATCGCTTAAACGTTAGAAAGAAAAACCTTGCTAATATGTGATAATCATGCGCTTCTTTGGGTATTACCTCTCTCCATATAAATATGGTTAATTTGTAGACATTTCCATGTCAACTATTATTCACTGAATGAGTTTTTTTCAAAATTCATATGAATGGGCTGGTTCTAAAATATGCTTTAGATTGCAACAGATCATAATGAAAAATTACCATTTAAAATCTAAATGTACTTACAACTCGAACAACTCCACTAAGCCCTGGAATTGATCTTCATGAAGCCTCTCAATTTTGTTGTAGTCCATTTTCCTGAAAAAGCGCGGTGCAGATGTTAGACTGAAATACACACATGAAGGGATATCTTTAAATCTACTTTTGTCTTAATTATCTTCTTAGTTTACTGCAGTACAATTAACTCCCAGGTTTGATATTTGAATATCATAGAAAAAAAGAAAACATTAGAGCTACATGCAACTTTAATGCTCTCAGGTCAGAGAAAATTTAGAGTTTATTACCAGAAACCTCTGCTCGAGGTCTGGCCCGGGTTATTCAAAGCTGGGTTAAGGTAACTCAGGGTTAGTGTGAGATTTGATTTCAGGTCTGAAAGCTATAAGAGAAAATTCAGTTCAAATCTTTTTGCTTCCAATTTGATCATGGGATGTTCTAAAAAGAATGGTGAAAATTTTCCCTTAAAGACTCTTGGACAAAGAAATAAAGAAACCTGAATTAAAATTCAACTCTGGGTTAGGGCTAATCGACCTTTGAACAACTGGGCCCTGTGGTGTTTAAAGCTGAATTGAAAAATCGTAAGTAGTCTATTGCCCATTTTTACAAAATTATATTATTTGGGTTGCTTTAGGATCTAAGTCAACAAATTCTAAGCTTCTGTCACAAAAAATAATTGCAAGACAAAAAATTTTTAGCTGCTTAAAATATATAAGAAATGTAAATTGTCATAAACTAGGAAGCCGATTTCTTCGCTTCTTGTTGTAATTGCAAGGTAACTCTCAAAGATAATTTTTGATTTATCTCAACTCAAGGAGAATATCACTTACAGAAATCTTACAGCTGTAATATTTTTAAAGATGTATGGCGGTAGATATCCAATTTCATTACTTGACAAATCCCTAAAATGTAATAACAACCATAGCTACAAATCTATCATGAAATTACCAATATTGATTCATAGAATAAAATCTCTAAGTACCTCAATTTGTCTCACCAAAGCACATCAACGTGATGTAGCATTCTAAAATTCGTTTAAACAGCTTTACAAAAATTGACCATGAAATCTTCATGACAGGGAGACAAAAAATTATCCATAGAGTTTTTTACTAATCCTTATGGAGGAGAATGATCCAGGGGTTGTGGGTCTTCTTTTCTTTCGCTCTCCTCATAATAAATGACCTGTTTTAGCGTACTTTCATCTGGCAATTTATTCATTTTTATCACCAGAACTGTGCTGTTTCAGTAAAAAAACATGAGCGCTCGCAAATTTCGATTTATATACACGTCAGACCTTTCAGTTTTACTTTACATGTTTCTGTTAACTGAATATGGCCACGCAGCTTCGAGAAATGTGCTCTTGGAAAAATTCATTGACCTCTTTTCACATTTTTTCTTTTGTTGAATGATTACTGTACTCACAGATATTTCAGACTGGAGAGGCTGTTAAAAATTCCATCTGGTAGAGTCTTCAATTTGTTGTTAGACAGATAGCTAATAGGAATGACAAGACAAGAAAGTGCGTCTTAATTCACAATGTTATTTGAAATTCGTTAAAAAAAAAAGACATACAGACACTGGCCATTAAGAATAATGAGCTAAATGTAATCGTGTACAAGCAATGTGCGTAATCTAATAAAGAGAAAGGAATAGTTCATGCAATGCAATCGACTCGGCCAGTTCGCTAATTTTACAGAAAAGGAACAACCAGTTGACAACTTGAAATTTGATCGCACCCTAAGCACTGCTATCTGAGGCTGGTGGAAGCTGATTATCTCTCTTATTCCAGTGAATTACTCAGTAACGAAATAACTGAGCCCGTGTTTTGTGCAGACACCTAACTAGTTCACAACAGAAAACTATGTCATACAGCAACGACTATGGCACGCATCGATTTCGTTGCTGTATGACTGAAAATCTTTTATTCTGCTTATCAGAACAACAATGACGATACAGTTTGAGATGGTTCAATTGGTTTATTTCCGTTTTTAGTGCTGAAGGCAATATCAGAAAAATTTGAAAATGGAAATATCACCTCTAATCTCGTATAATTATTGACGCAATAATAAGGTTACTAGATTATTATTATCAATATAATCACACGAGCAGGCTTCTTTTGGAAGGGAGATGACATTAAATGCTAATAATCATCCCTTAACCTCAGTTACAAAGCTAAATAGCTAAAGAGCGTCTGCATGTAACTTACAGTTCCTTCAGGCTTTTTAGATCTTGGAATAATTCGGGAGGCAATTCAGTGAAGTTGTTGTCTTGCAACCATCTGTGTTGAAGAAGAAAAATCTACTTAGTTTTATTTAGAAGCTCGCAAATTACTAGTCAACTGCTTATATTAGTGCATGAGCGATAAGAGAAAAAAAAAGAAATAAAACGGAAAAATAAAAGAATGGCAGAATAAAAACCAAAACACAGTTATTTCTAATAACTGCATCGTGTGAAACACAATAAAACAAATAATTACATGTGTCTGATCACACATCACAACAGAATGCAATGTCATTCGAAGCAATGCAATAGGATACAGTTCTATCAAGTTATTCAACGAGTAGGAGGGCTGAACTGGAAAATGATACGCTCGAGAACACGGCGCACTTACCGAGCGGAGCTGATGCAATGTTAAGAATTAATCTTTACTTGACCTCAATTCTTCAATTTTTATCAACTTGGAGTAATGATTTGCATCAGAAGAAATATTGATAAACCTTTTCAAGAGAAATTCTTTAACAAAAGAGGTCTCGCTTGAGTGTAGTCAGAATTAAAACCTTTCCTAACTTTTATAATTTGACTGATTTCAAAAAGTTATCAGTGCTTTCCTATTATCTGTTTCCGTATCATTGCACAGTATGAGTCACAAAAAAGAATTTAATACATTACGATCGTGCAGTGGGAAATTATAAATTGCATAACTTTTTTTTACGAGTAGCAGTGCCTTCAAAAACGGCATTTTCATATTTACTTACAGTTCCTCTAAACTTGTAAGTTTTTTGAAGGCGCTCCCATTTAATCCTTTCATGTCGTTGTCATTCAGGCGTCTGCGTTATTTACCATATGAGCTAATTAATATAGTTAAGATATGCCTGGGCTTAATTGTTCGAAGGCCAATTAGCGCTAACCCAGGGTTAAAATTCAATCTAAGTTTCTGATTTGAGAAGAATTTTCCAATTTTTTCAGAACATCCAATCATCAAATTGATCATCAAAAAGATTTAGACTGAATTTTCTTTCTAAGCTTTCAGATCTGAAATCAAATTTGACACTTACCCTGAGGTATCTTAACCCAGCTTTGAACAACCCGGCCCTGAAGTGTAACGTCCTAGGTAGGGGAGTCACTGAGTCTATTATTGACGTCTTATCAATTGAGCAAAAGTTTGGTTCACTTTCATAAATGATTATATGCTTGTACTAACTTCATCCTTAATACTCATCATTCCACACTGCAATATATCTACATCTTACAAAGATAAAGTGTGGTTTGTAATTGAATTCGGTTCATAATGGGGATTTGATGAAAATATTTTTAATAAAATACCTTGCGATGCCTGTTATAAACAGAATGAATCTCTTAAAAACGTCAGTCTGATTTTAGAATTTCAATTCAGGAATGTGACAGTCGATGTCAGAGTACTTTCTTGATATAAATTCTAGGATGATGACTCGGAACGTGGAATCTGATGAACTTGTCAAGGTTTTTCTGTAACACCTTGAATAGTATCAATTTAAAACAAAGACACTTAAGGGGTTTTAGAACTATTCTGCCGCAAAAGAGGCACATCTTGGCCGCACTTCAAGAAAGATTTGAAAATATTTTAGGCGTCATTAAATCTGCTAAATTCCTTGTTCCTCTAAACATGCGAAATGGGTACGCAGGTGATAACAGGTATGAAATTTGAGTTTTATCAGCAGGTGTGAGGGATGACCGCGACACTCCGTTGTGTGTGATTTGTTCTTTTAGAGCACAGTATGAGATCAAATAGCAGGATTTTTTTTCACCTTTGAACTTTGCATATCTTTAGTTCGTAAATAAAGTATACAACTCACTCGTCGGTAATCCTGAGTTTAAAAAATCGTAACGACAAATAAATGTAACTCACAAAAATCTCAATCTTGTGTTCCTGTCGAAGATTCCCGGTGGCAGGTTGTGCAATTGCATCTCAGACAAGTACCTATTGATACATTCCACATACATAAGTGTTGCATAACCTATAAATAGCAGTAATACCGTACCAAATCACATATTAAAATTTAAGCGTGTTAAGCGACTATCTTTTTGCAACCATTGCGATTTCTT